ACCTAACAAAAAAAAAAAAAAAAAAAAGAAAGAAAGAAAAAAGAAAAAAGAGGGGGTAAAACAGTCATTGTAGCTAGGCTGGAGCATGAACCTGGAGAGTCAAGCAGACCAGGTTCGAGCCCCACCTCTGCCCTTCCGCTCTGCGCGATCTTGCTAGGAAGTGACTTCGCTGCCCTAGGGCTCAGTTTTTCCACCTGTAAAATGGGACAGAACCCATCATGAGTCGTGTTGGGGACAGCATAGATGGAAATCACGTGCATTATCCTCCAGGGTGGGGTGAGTGTTCGAAAAGTTGGGGGGGAGGTGGGTTTTAGTGAAGGGGAGCCTCCTCCTTCCAGCAGCAGCGGCCTCCGGCTGGCGAGGCGCATGCGCAGAGCAGCCCCGCGGCCCCTTTATAAGCGCTGAGGCGGCGCTGGGGCGAGCGGAGCGCAGGGCGCAGGGCCTGGAGCCGGCGGGGAGCGGGCCGAGTCGGAGCGTCCTTTGTGCCAGGCGGCCGCCCAGGGATGCGTCCGAGCTAAGAACCAGGTGGGGGGGTTCCGCCGTCGGCAGGGGGCCGCGTTGGGGAAGAAGACTTCGGATTTAGAGCCAGCCCGGAATTGGAGAGGGAGCCTGGGATCGGGGAGAACCCCCCAGAATGGGGAGGGGGCGGGATGGGGGAGGGGAGCCCGGGGTCAGGGACAGAGCGCAAACTGGGGGTGGGAGGTGATTGGGAATGTCAGAAGGACATGCATTTGGGGGGACGATGGTCGGGGGGGGGGAAATGCGGAGGCAACCCCCCATGGTGGGAAGGGGACTGAGCTGGGGGTGGGTCTCAGGATTGGGGAGAGGGGAGGAAGGGAACCAGGGCTAGGGAAGGGTCGCCCCGAGTTTGGAGTCAAGAGAAAGACATCCAGATGTTGAATGGGGGGGACTCCCGAACGGGGCATCCTCGTGTCTAGGCTGAGACACCCCAGGATTTGAAGTGGGGATTCCCAGTTTGCAGAGGAAGGGAGGATTCCCAGCTGGACTGCAGTGGGGAGGGGGCCCCCCAGATCAGCTTGAGCCCAATGGAAGGGGGTCTACCTGGTTCTGACTGCATGGCCACGGGAAAGGGGCGCCCTGCCATCTGCTTTAGGGCCAGGTCCTGTCACCACGTCCTGACTCAGGGACGAGGCTGTTGGGGGGGGGGAGATGCCAAGATAGTCCCCTATTCTTTCAGATCTGGAGTTGGGGGTGCTGTCTTTTCCCAGGGAGCATACTGCGTGTCCCAGACAAATGCTGAGTGGGGACCCCCTAAGGTCCCCACTTATGGATAAGATGAGGGATACCAGCGTAGAAAAGGGGGTTCACCCCAGCACTTGCCCATGTTCACAGCCCAGGACGGACCCTTGTCTCATCCCCCCCCCCACTTCCTTTCCATCTGTGCGTCGAAATGCATACGGAAACCCTGGCTTGGTTTGGGGTGCAAGCACTGAGACTAGGGGGGCTGGGACCCCAGCCCCTGCCAGAGCAACCCCCATCCCTATCGTGGCTGGCGTGGGGCTTTGTTCCTCTTGGCAGTGTCGATGGGAAACAGCCAGGCAGGGGGTGAGGGTTGGCCTTGAGCCCCAGCAGGGACACGGGGGTGGAGTGGGGAGGGATCAGTGGGTGCTCTGTGGGACCCTAAAACCCAACAGCTTCCTTGGCTCTCGTGGTCACCCCAAATGGAAGTCCCCTCCCCTCCCTGAGGTGAAGGCTTTGTGTGTGTGTGTGTGTGTCTGTCTGTCTGTCTGTCCTCAGCAAGCGGGGAATGGAGGGGTGTGCCCAGAGGTTCTGGGGGGTCCCCTGTGCTTCTGCTGTGACTGCGGTGTGTCTTTGTCAGAAAACTTGTGCTGGAGGCCACGTCACCAGGTGACAAAATACTATGTCCCTTGGTCAGTCACCAAGGCCACCTTTCTGCACCCCATCTGGTGGCCTCCGTGTGAGTGGGATGGGGAGCTGTGTTGGAGTCACAGAGGGGTGTAGGGGGACCCCCCCGAGACTATGGGTGTGTGTCTTTGTGCAGAAGCTAGGCTTCTTGTAAGTGTTCCGATCGCCTTTCTTTGTTAAGTGTCACTGTGACTCTGTGTGTGTGTGTGTGTGTGTGTGTATCTTCGGGGTCCGTGTCTGGGGTGTGTGGCTGTCTATCTTGTGTGTATGACAAGGATCCTGTCTGTGTAATTGGCGGTGTGGACTCTGAGCGTGGGGGTGTGGGATGGGGTCTGTGTGCGGAGTTAAGGAGCCGATGGAGGGTGGGGCGAGGTTGGGGTTGAGGTCCCCAACTTGCAGCGTCTGATGATTTCTGGAGCCCGGGGAGCCCGGCTTCCTTTCTCCTCCAAGGGGCTCCACACGTACACCCATGCACACAAACACACCCCGACTCTCCAACCAGAAACCCACACGTGTGTGCACAGCCACAGCGGAGGGGCGCTCAGACCCGCACGTCCAGAAATCGTCCGGGTTCCCATATGCTCCGTGTGCTGGAGACCCACGCGTCACCAGGTGCAACGGTCTGCCCACCCTTGTCCACACTCGGTCACACACACACAAAAACACCCGCTGGCAAACTCACCCTCACTCAGCACCCACCGAGGCAGGCGGTGGGAGTGAGGCTGGGGAGAGACACACACACACACACACACTCACACTCACGCTGATCTGGGCCGCCCCTCCCCCAGCGCCCCACAGGCCCCTATTTACATATGCATGAGCCTCATGCATTATTCATGAGGGGACGGGCCCCAGACAGCTGTGTAAACGCTCACCTCTGGCGGCCCTGGAGAAGAGGTATTTTAAGAGAAGGGTGTGGGTGAGTGAGAGTGAAAGTGGAAGGGCGTGGGAGGGTGTGTGTGTTGGGGGGGAGGGGAGGGTGTGCACCTGAAACTGTCTGTCACCCATATTGGACCACCTCGGTATATTTTTAGCGTGAACACGAGGCTTTCTGTACCAGGAGCTGCTTTTAAATTTAACATTCCGAAGACTTTACAAGCCTTCGTTTTTTTCTTCCTTCCTAGAGCCCGATGAGGGGCTCGCTCGAAGGTCCCCACGGTTCCAATGGGGAGATGGAGGCACAGAGAGATGAAGACACTTGCTTAGGGTCACACAGCATTGGAAGGAACAGAGACAGGGCTTGGAGCCAGGTCGTCTGGATGGAGTCTGAGTTTTTTTTCTTTTTTTTAAGCTCTTTTTTATTTTTATTTTTTTTCCAAAGAATTATTTATTTAGTTAATTCATTTGTTATTATAATTATCATTTTTAATTTCACCAGAGAGAGAGAGAGAAAGAGAAAGTGAGAAAGCAAACCGCCAGGTCCGGGACTCGAACCATGGTCGGCCACCACGCCACTTGCTGGCCCCGGAGCCTGAGCTCTTAACCATGCAGAATGTGTGTGCGAGAGACACTTCTCTATCCTCATCCCCGATCCAGGCTCTGCTCGAGCAAGCATAACCTGAACCCCTACCCCACTCTCTAATACCTGGCCCTGTTTGGAGTAGCCATCACGGGCCACTGGAGTG